GTGTCCTGCAGACTGACAGCTTCCATCCAGCTTCATGAGCACCAGCTCCTAGTCATCCTGTTCCACTACTCAGTAATAACTCTTCTCACCACCTGTGGCAGGTGAGAACTGAGGATGGGTTGGGCATCATGGTACACCTTTCACCCCTGCACTGGGGACACAAGGCAGATAGATCGTTGTGAGTTCCAGGCCAGCCTGATCCAAACAGAGAAACTTTTAAAACAAACAAACAACAAACAACAATGGGGCTGGAGAGGTAGCTCAGCAGATGTTTACATAGAAGCCTGGGTTCAATTTCCAGAACTCACATAGTGTCTCATAATCAACCCTAACTCAAGTTGCAAAGGATCCAACAATTTTGAACTACATGGGCACCAAGCATACATGTGGTATACATACATGCAGGAAAATATTCATACACATATATGCAAGCACAAACATATATACACATACACTTGAGGACAGGTGTCACCTGTGGAATCTCTCCCCAGTCACCTTGTAGTTTAAGCTTCCCTGGGACACATTACATAATTGACTCTGGGAACCCAGGGTGATCCTCCTGTCTCACTGTCCCAAGTGCAGGATGTACAAGGATAAGTCACCACACTTAGTTTACCTGTGTAATTCTGATACAGCAAGGCTCTGAAGGGGGCCCCGAACACCCTTCATCTCAGTGTTGGGTTCTCTTTTGTTGGTCTGAGACAGGAATTACACTGTAACCCAAGCTGGCTTGAACTCATGACAATCCTTCTAATCCGTCCTCCCATGTGTTGGAACTACAGACAGTACCACTCCAAGTTTAGGTGGTTTTTATTTTTTATTTTTGTTGTTGTTGGGTTTTTTTTTTTTTTGAAATAGGGTCTGTAGTGTTAAATGAAAACAGCTCTCATAGGTTCATATATTTAAACAATTGGTCCCCAGTCATAGGAACTGTTTAGGAAGGACTGGGAGGTTGTCACCTAGTTGGAGGTATACCACTGGGAATGGCATTTGAGGTCTTCTCTGCCTTCAAGCTCTCAGCAACGACTTCAGTGCCATTATCTGCTGCACTCCACTCCTCACCTTGATGCTCTTACACTATAAGCCCCAAGTACTAACTTTGATTGTAAAAGCTGCTTTGGTCACAGTGTCTCCACACAGCAACTCGTGCTGGCCTCGGATAACTTTGAATTCCTCATCTTCCTCCTTCCACCCTGAGCATTAGACTGACAGGTGTTAGACCCTACATCTGGTTTCTGTGAGCCTCATGCATGGTAAGCAAACAGTCTACACAGAACCCTAACCAGCCCAAAGAGCCATTCCTGTACACCCAGAGGCCAAAGATAGCACATGAGTCTGACAGCTGTAGACTATTTAAAAGCTGAGTTTTGCTAAATAAATATATTTTTTTTTCACTTGCTCTCAGGAGTCAGCTGTAGTTTTGAGACGGGTCTCAGCATCTTCATCTCCCTGACTTTGGTCATTTTATGAGATGGTACCAACAGGAAACCACACACCACTGTCTCAACAGCACACCCTTGAGAGCTAGCTCCCAATGGCACACAGGATGCACTTGGAAGAAATCACCTCTTTGTTCTTGCCTCAGCACACATTTGTCTCCACTGTAGGGTTAAGGAACCAGGTGTTGGCAACCCTGGTCCCAGAAGCCTAGAGAATAAAGAGGAATCCAGAGTGGGCTCCAGGGCAGTTCTACACCATTAGAACCTGCCAGGCATAACAAGTCCTACAAGCATCATGGGTATAAGAAAACTCCCTCCAAGCAGCAAACAGCAGAGACTTATAACCCAGTCATTCAGGACCAGATGGGGCACTTGTCACCTAAAAGCTAAGGAGGTAGAGGAGAGGCTGGAAGATCTGGAGCTAAAGGCCAACTTCAACTAATAGCAAGAGGGAGAGCAGCCTGAGCTACATTATATCCTGCCTCAACCACAACCAAAAAAGCCTTTATATACACTCCTCTGTGGGGGTTCCACAAGAGTTCTCTGATTCCAAGACAGGAACTGCTATTATGTCCATTTCCCAGATGAGAAAAACCAAGGCCCCGGGGAGCAACTTGCAGATAGGTGATAGTGCCATGTAACCCTACAGAAGTTATCTGTCAGATATGTGTGTCCTTCTGCCAGACAGACAACATGAGATGGGCCTTGGAAGCTGGGAAAGGAAGTACATGGAGGAGCTTGCTCTAACCCTCCCCACATCTGTGCTGATACACCTCCCTCCCTTCAAGAGTTAGCAGAGCAAGGAGAATGGAGGGAAGGCTGTGGGATGGATGTGGCAGTGACTCACTTTATGACCTTGCTACTAGGTTAACTGATATCCACTGGTCTCCGGGGACTCCATACCTATGGGGGAGGGGGGTGGATGGCAGATTGGAAAATTCCCCTTTAAAAGTCTCTGCTTTCTCCTGATTTCATCACCCTGTTCTCTCTCCCTCCCTCTTCACGGCTCGCCAATTTCGAAGGATCAGATGGGATCAGCTCCCTGCAGTGGAATTTTCCTCCCTTATAAAGGGCTGTTTGAACTTTCTTTCTTTTGAGGCAGATGTCAGGGAGTGTCGGGGAAAAAAAAATCCTGTCCTCTTTTCCGTCATTCCGATTCCGGCCTTTCTCCTACTCCCAAAGCCTGTAACTTTGTATATCCCCACATCTATGCCCGATACACTAAGCGGGTAACTAAGGGTGTGAAAAGCTTGGCTACATGAGAAAATGTCTCAAGACAAAAGATACATAAGACTTGTCTCAATAAATAAGCTGGATACCATTGAACAAGAAGGCTTTACAAAACTTTCACCAGGATGGAAGGGAAATAACTGCACTCTGTTGCTAGTCGGCCTGGGATTTCTACCATCAGGTCTCGTGGACTTCACACCCACTATCACGGGTCCTAAAGGACCCCAAAAAGGGAAGAGTTTGTGTCCAAATGAGCCACCAAGGACTCTGGCATCCTCTTTCCTCAGACTCCAGAGTGGTGAGATGACAAGTGGGAGCGCAGTTCCAAAAGTTTCTTAGACACGAGGGGTGAGGTCCCGCCAGCAGAGCAGGGACAGTATAGCAAGGCCAGGCGAGTGGGGGCTCTGGTTACCTCCACGATCTTGATAAAGCGCGGGAACACCGGGTTGCGGGTGATGGCGATGAGCGGCAGGTGAGGAAACACATCCGGGACGGTCATGGGCGCGAGTGCCGTGACGACCGGGCCTTCCCCGCTGCTCGCCGTGGCCCCGTCCTCCGCACCGCCCTCGGAGGTCTCGTCGCTGCCACCGCGGCTGCCCGCGTCCCACAGCCCCCGCCACTGGCCCCCACCCGCAGGAACGCGGCCGCCCCAGGGAGCTGACGTATCGCAGGCCCGACATCCTCGGCGCAGCCACGACCCGGACGCGCTCGGAACCCGGCCTCCGGTGACAGCCAGCAGCGGTCGCCGAAGAACCCAGCACCGCGCAGCGGCCCAGAGCCGCACGTAGCCTGTGCTCGCCGCCATGGAACAGCCATACTGACGACGCACGGCGCTTACGTCATTTCTGCTCGCCCTACAGCTGCACACGTGACGACGCTCGCGCGCTTAGAGCTGGAGAGGCGGAGCTTGAATAAGGTAGTGGGCGTGGCCAGAGGGGGACCTAATTCTGGGGTGGGGGTGGAGTAGAAGTAGGGGCGTGGTTCAAGGCTCCCCGCCCCGCTTGGAGTTGGCCGAGATGGGGGCGTGGCTCAAGGAGATAGTCTAGAGAAGACTTGGAGGAACTGGATGAAAAAGCAAGAGGTGGGCTGGTAAGGTGGTTCAGCGGTTCAGCGTACTTCCAGAGGTCCTGAGTTCAAACCACATGGTGGCTCACACCGATCTGTAATGAGATCTGATGCCCTCTTATGGGATGTCTGCAGACAGCTACTGTCTACTTACATATAATAAGTAAACCTGCCGGAGCGAGAGGGAGAAGGGTGGCGGGGAAGGGAAGCGAGAGGTGTTGTAGTTAGCTCGAGGAAGCATGATGCATGACAGAGGAGGCAGAACTGGTGTCTGTTCTAGATGAGGAGCGCTCCACCCGGCAGGGCTTGGAGGAACTGGAAACCGGTATTTGACCGAAGGCTGCAGTCGGGGCTTGACTTAGGGGCGTGGCCAGAGCGGTGACTCAAGAGGAGGCGCGAGGCCAGGTGCAGTTAGAATGGGAGTGGAGCTTGTTGGAGGGGTGGTTGTTGGGGGGTATGGGAGGGTGTCAGAGGGCACCGCCCTAGGAAGGGGGCCTGGAGAAAGCATGGCCCCTCCCGGTTCCTATAACTACTGGTCTATCCTGCCCACCTTAGAACTGCGTTGTTTTCAAACTTGCATCAAAAAGTTTTTACAGGGTCTGAATAGCAAGAAAAGTACAGCGCCTCAGAGTCTTTTGCTGATACACAACAACTGGCTTTACTACATCTCCCTACACATCTTCCCTACATCTCCCACCATCTTTACTCCACACTGGAAGAGACCTGCTTGAAGGGCTTTTACCTCCCCTATAGTCTGCTTGTTACAGGCCGTGCGCTTAAGCGCCTGCTCAGCGTTGCCTTTGTTGACAGTTGAAGCCCTTACCAAAACACCGAAGCTTCCAGGACATGTCCCAAGAGACCCCTGTGCATGCTTCAGCTCCACAAAGCAAGGGATGCCCAAAGCACACCCACGTGTGCTCATGCAGGTTTTGTGGAGACTTCCTTGAAGTTTGGGCATGCTCTGGATTTTGACTTATGGAGCTCGGAACCTGGATGTAACTTTCAGGTTTGATGTGTGCATTCTCTGCTTCCATATTGCGCATGCTCACTCCTTCCACTTGCCTCTGCGAAGACCTACTGGGGCTTTTGTCGCACGTGTCCGAAAGGTCCTGCTAGTGACCTTTTTACCTGGTGCGCGTGCCCAGACTAGAGGCGGGTAGTAGAGAAGCGGCCTAACCTCACGCATGCTCAGACACTTTCTCAAGCTTGGCAGTTGAAGAGCGAGTGTTAGCTGTGGAGAACCACGCCCCCCCCCCCAAAAAAAAGATGCTGATGTTGATGCTAGCAGCAGTGGCCACCATGGTCAGGGCTGAACTGTGCCGGTGCGACTGCCTAACTGGGATGGGATGCTGCTGGGAGGTTTGTGGCGGGGAGGAATGGGGCTGGTTTTTGTTGGAGCCCAGGCATGCCCTCCAACCAATTGTAGGAATCAAACTTGGCATGTCTCTTCCAAGCACATGACTAAAATCTGGGTGTGGAACCAGGGCCTTAGACATGTGTCAAACCCAAGTTCCTTATGCAGTCTGCAACCTGTCCCACCATCCATACCTACCTGGCTCAGTAGCAGTGCTATGGGCTGTTGAGGCTAGCTGAGACCATGCTGGGAAGTGTGCTGTGCATGGTGTCATGGTTAGCAGTATCTCTGATCGCTAACATGCAAGTATGTCTCTATGTATGTACTCCCCCTTCCCACTTTTCTTCCTGGAGGCTGTTGGTCACCAGCCTGAGGGGACAAAAAGAACAGAGGTGGAGAGCAGGGTTCAAACAGCCTTGAGTATGGACAAAATGATCTCCAAAGACTACTGCACAGGGATGTCTACTGTGTTCTTTCAGGGATGGGAGAGTATTTAAGGGCTTTGGGGGGGGAGGTACAAGTGGAAAGGGCTAACGGGTCATGAGGGTGGGGAGCCAGAGCAAGCTGTGTGTGTGCTGTGTTACGCAGTTGGTTACCCTTCAGAGGCCAGCCACCTGTGTTTAGGGACACTCTCCAAACAAAGACAGGAAGAGACAGGGAATCCCTGCTGAGAAGTGTCCCATTTTTGGTGCCCAGCTCAGAAAGCCATCCTGTCATGGGGGCTGCTACCTTAATAGCAAGTTCCCCACCATATGTGTTGCTAACTGTCCCCTGGGGACCTCAGTTCTTAAGCCCTGAATTCTGGAATATCATTACTAGAGTTTGGCAAGACAGTTCCTTGGTGTGAGTTTTGCAGCCAGCCTGTGTAACATAGCTGGATCCATGTTTGAATACAATACTGTGCTTTAGCCGCCCAAGTACTGTGATGACAGGTGATATGCCACCATCTGTGTGTTCCAGGCCATCTGCAGATTTCAGTAAATGTTACATGCAAATATACCTTGTGCAAAGAGCCATGGGTCCCAGAAGGTCCCAGAAGTTGTTTGCTGCAAAAAAAAAAAAAACAAAAAAAAACAAAAGCAAAACCCACCAACAACAAAGTAGGGAAACTTAAATACTTGCCAAGCACTGGAGAGATGGCTCAGCGGTTAAGAGCACTGACTGCTCTACCAAGGTCCTGAGTTCAATTCATGTGAGCAACCACATGGTGGCTCACAACCATCTGTAATGGGATATGATGCTCTCTTCTAGTGTGTCTGAAGACAGTGACAGTGTACTTGTATAAATATTTTTTTAAAAAGAAATACTTGCCAAAAGTAACTGCTGGTGTTGGCTTGAGCTGGAGCTGGGCTGAGGGCTGACCCACCTGGTGAAGCCAGGGCAAACTCTAGCACCACAGAAACCTGACAGGTGCCCCATGCCTGCCTGCACAGCACTGAGGAAGTGGAGGCAGGAGGATTGGGGATTTCAGGCCAGCCTGTCTCTGAATAAACAATAAAAGGAGCCTGGGGAGACCCCTCAAAGAAGAGAGCCCCCTTAACACCAAGGTCCCCCCCGCACTGTGCTGGGATGGGGTGGGGGGTTGTAAAAGGCAGGAGACTCCAGAGCAGGAGATGTAAGGTCTCCTCCACCTGGGTCTCTGAGTGATCCCCAAGCAGCGCGTGTGAAGCTTTATCGTCTGAGTTTGTAAATGAGCTTCTGGGAGTGTTAGTGCCTTTGAAAGTGTTTTTGAGTCCTTTTACCTCTTAATGAGAGCACCAATCTTTTATATTTTTTGAAAACAAGATTTACTTTTATGTACGCGAGTGTTTATCTGCATGCATATGCATTGCACACAGAGACCATAGGAGGATGTCAGGTCCCCTGGAACTGGAGTTAAAGATGTTCTAAGCTACCATGTGAATGCTGGGAATCAACCCCGGGTCCTCTAGAAGAGCAACAAGTGCTCATAACCACAGATCCATCTCCAGCTCCTGAATTTTTGTTGTTATTTATTATTTTGAGACAGCTTCTCACAATGTAGACCAGGCTGGCCTCAAACTCACAGAGATGCACCTGTGTCTGGCTCACAACTGCTGGGAGTAAAGGCATGCTACCACACCTGGCTCTCTCTCTCTCTCTCTCTCTCTCTCTCTCTCTCTCTCTCTCTCTCTCTCTCTGTGTGTGTGTGTGTGTGTGTGTGTGTGTGTGTGTAAGAAGTCAGAAGACAACTTGCAGGAGTCATTTCTCTCCACCAGGGCCAAACTTAGGATGTCAGGCTTTGTAGCAAGCCCCTTTATGTAGTGAAGCCATCTCAATGGCCCAGTATTTTCTGTATGTTAATGTGAGCCCACATGTCATATGTTTGTTGATATCAGAGGATGACCTCAGGCATTACACTTTTCCTATGACCTTGCTTAAATCAGGGTACTTTGTTCTGCTTGCTGCTAAATACACCAGGCCAGTGTCCTAAAGCCTCTGTGGATTCTCCTGTTTGTGCCTCCTGCCTTTATGATAGGTACACTGGGCTGATAGACGCACAGCACCCTGCCTGTCTCTTACATGTTCTGGGGACTGGGGCGGCAGCTGTCTCCCATCACTATCTAATGCTGTAAGACTCCCAGAGCCCTCAAAGTATCACGACTATATTCTGTGCAGTATGTCTAAAGGTAGCATGGTAGGAGAGACCAAGATGAATATTGATTAAGGACCTGAGAGATGGCTCAGCGGTTAGATCACTAGCTGCCCTTGCAGAGAACTGTGTTCAGTTCCCAGCACCCACAGAAGGCTCTCAGGTAGGTGTAACTGCAGCTCAAAAGCTCAAAGGGGCCTGATGCTCTCTGCTGGTCACTTCGGGCACAGCATGCATGTGGTGTGCAGCCAAAACACCCATACACATGAAATAAATAGGAAAATTCTTTCTTTTTTTTTTTTTTGTTTTTTGTTTTTTTGGGTTTTTTGAGACAGGGTTTCTCTGTATAGTCCTGGCTGTGGCTGTCCTGGAACTCACTCTGTAGACCAGGCTGGCCTTGAACTCAGAAATCCGCCTGCCTTTGCCTCCCAAGTGCTGGGATTAAAGGCGTGCGCCACCACCGCCCGGCTAGAAAATTCTTGACAACAGAATAAATGAGAAGACAAAGGCTGACTTTTAGTTGTGTGTGTGTGTGTTTTAATTATTTATTGGTTGTGTATTTCAATCACTCTAGGACGCGCACAGTGAGGACTGGGAAAGTGTTTGAGTCCAATGTACAAGTTGAAGGGGTAGGTAGCCCCTTGCATGCCTCCTGAGTTCCAGTATGACTACATAGCAGAGTGTTTTCTTTTTCTTTTTTTTCTTTTCAAATTTTGGTTGTGATTTAACATCATGTACCTTAATCCCATTCCACTGTCCCTCCATCTCCACCCAGTGACCTTGCAACTCCCTGCACCCTGCCAGGAAAACTAAAACTCAAAAAATCTCATCGTGGAAACGGTCGTATGTCACAGTGTAACCTTTTGCCCAGGCATGTTTACTTGTAAATGTTCACGACAGTGAAATAATCGGTCTGGTTTGAGGTCTCTGGTTTCTGCTACAGTACTGGATCCTCACGGGGACTCCTCTCGGATACTGTTGTTGCCCTGTGTCATGGAGGTCCTGCAGCTTTGGATCTGCGGGACCTGCATCTTCAAGTGTTCCAGCAGATCAAGATGGGGTAGATGTGGGTGGGGTGGGCCGAGTAAAAGCCCTGAATCTGGGCCAACTCTCCTACACCCATGACACCTGGCGAGCTCTCCCACACTGCCCAGGCAAGGAGCAGAAACAGATTGGTTTATACTGTTTTTTTTTTTCTCTCCTGAGGCATAATCTTCTGTAGCCTAGACTGGTTTCTGTTCTTTATGTTCTGAGAATGATGTGACCTCTGATCATGAGTATTGAAAGGCAGGAATTCACCTCCTCCTGGCTGACTGTCTGTGCTCTCTGCAGGACCCACTGTTCTACGCCTTCCCCAATACATTGGTGGTCAAGAACTTGTGCAGGACTGACATCGCCATATATCTAGGGTGAGCCTAGCCCTCCCCACCCCTCTCCTTTCCCGGCTCTCTCCCCCTTGTCCCTCTACTCCTCTTTCTACCTTGCTCTTTTCTTCCCCATTTTCTTTCACCCCCTTCCTTCCCTCTCTTCCTGCTTCTCTTTTTTAAAAAAACAAACCAAGCACCTCTAGTCCACAAGGAATTCTAGCTGGGCTGGGTGGGACACAGAGAGGAAGACACAGGCACAAGCATTGCCATTCTGGGGACAGGAGCCAAGACTGTGGCTTCTGCCAATCAGAGATTGACAAAAACAAAACAAAAAGAAATAAATAGGAAACCTTTCTTGGCTTAAATTTTTTTCAATTACATTTCTTTACTGGTGTGTCTGTCTGAGTATGCCCCAGCACTCTGTGGAGGTCAGATGCTAACCTGTGGGGGTCACTGCTCTCCTTCCATCCTGTTAATTCTGGGGATAAAACTCCGACGGCCAGGCTCAGTGGGAAGCATCTTAACCCACACTGAAGTCTCAGTTCTTCAGCCTCAGCCTCTGAAGTGCCAGGGAAGCAGGCTTGAACCACCCAACACCTGCCTATTTCATTTATGGCCTTTTGTCTCTGCGACTATGTCATTTAAAGATGTAAAAAAACCGAAGCATACAAGTACAATATGACATGACACTATTTCTGGGTGACTCCGTTTGGTGGGGAGCTTGTAAGGCAGATGGTCACAGGCCCACCAGTGGAGGAGCTTCCTAATTCTACCTTTTCTCTTGGACACAGGAAGAAGGTTTTCTTAACGATAAACAACTTTGAGTCCAGCATCCTGCCGCTCACCGTTCCCCAGTCAATGGCGGTAGATATTTCTCCACCTGCAGCTCCAAAGGGTTACACTTAGAGGAGACCGTGGGGTGCAGGGGCAGGGGTATGGATCTGTCAGCTGTGGGTTCTTTTTCTGGATTCTCTTAGAGATGCTGAGTTACAAAGAAGTTGGCGGACTGGACCTAGTTCATTCCAGCTCTGATAGAATCCTACCCCTCCCCTGCTCTTCCTCCTCCCCTCCTTTTTTTTTCTTTTTTTTTTCTTTCATACTTGTAGGTTTTGTCTTTCTCCTCTTCTTTTTCCCCCCCTTCTTTTGAAATACTTATTTGAGATGTCATTTATTTTTATTTTATATGTATGGTGTTTTGTCAACATGTGTGTCTGTGTACCACTTGCATGCCTGGTGCCCAAGGAGACCAGAGGATGGTGCTGGATCCCCTGAAAGTGGTCTAACAGGTGGTCTGTAAGCTTCTGTGGGTGCTGGGAAACTTGAGTCCTCTGCAAGAGCAACCAATGCTCTTAACCACCACCTCTCCAGTCCCTCAGGAGTTTTTTGTTGAAAAAGGATGCACACATGTCAACCGAGAACAACTTTGCCTCCCTAACTTAGCATCTGGCCAGAAAACAACAGCCCGCGGTTCCCAGTGAGGAAGACTCACATGACTTAGTGGCTGAGTGATTTAAGTCTGTAGCTATATGAGGACATGGCTGCAAGCCCCCCAAAGTGCACAGAGAAGCTCGGTGTACAGAGGAAGAAGGAGGAGGCCTGGGGCTCACTGGCAGCCAGCCAGCCAAACAGAGAACACCAGGTTCAGTAAGACCTGGTCTTGAAATATGGATGAGAGATGCTCCCTCAGTGGTTAGAGCACTGGGTTCGGTTCCCAGCACCCACATGGCAGCTCACAACCACCTGTGACTCTTGCTCCAGGAGACATGACACCTTCTTCTGGCCCCAAAGGTGGTATCCAAAGCCATAAGCCAGACACACAAACACACAAGTAAAAAGAACATATCTTTACAAAAAGGATGTGTTATTTTTGTATTTCTGAGAAACTCCATGTGTGTCTGTGTACCACATTTGTGCAGTGCCTGGGGATGCCAGAAAGGAGTACAGGATCCCCTGGAGTTGGCATTATAGATGTTTGCAAGCCGCCTTGCGGATTCTGGGAACTGAACTCTGATCCTCTGGAAGAACAGCCGGTATTCTTAATTGCTGAGCCAAGACACATCAATAGAGTATGCTGATGAGGCAGGAGAAACTATGAGATCAAGGCCAGCCTGGGCTATACCTTTAAAAATAATAAATTCTAATAAGTAATAAGGTGGAAAGTGGTAGTAGTATTAATCACTGGCTTCCACATGAGCACATGCAAAAACATACCAAGCAGACACCCATTTCAAGGAACGCTGGTCACACCATTAATCTTGAGAGGCAGAGGCAGGCAGGTCTCTGAGGTGATCAAGTCCAGCCAGGACTACAGAAAAACAACAACAAAATAAACAGTATTACTGACCCAGATTGTTTTGGGATCTGCATCTACAATGGTTGCTTCCTGAACTAATGTTCTAACTAGCTACAGCTTGTGATGATGTCGTCATGATGGTCAGGACAGGGGCTCTGGCGACACTTTGGAGAAGAGCCCCAGGCACGTCTGTGAGAGAGTTTCTAGACTCTAGAGGTATATGTTGAGGGGGAAAGATCCATCTTAATTAAGTACAGGTGCCACCACCCCATGGGGGCTGTGTTCCTGCACTAGATCAAAGAGAGAGCAAGCTGGGTTCTGACATCCAGCTCTCTGCCTCCTGACTGTGGCTCCTTGAGTGGGCCCTGCCTCAGGCTGACTGTTGATTGCCCCTGGGAGCTTATGATATCAGTTGCTGTGAGTCTGGAAGATGGCCGTTTTTAGGTCCTTCATCTTATCTCCTGGCTTTTAGATTCCTTCTGCCCCTCTCTGTGGGACTGTGGGACTCTGACCTATCCATCCCCAACCCCCACCACTATGATGGACCATGCCCGCTCTGTGAGCCAGAGCAAACCTTGGATCCAGCCCTTTGGGTGCATCTGTCAGGCCCTTACCCCATGTATGTCCTGCTCTTAGGTGGGAGTACCGTCGATCACGAGCGCCCACTTTCTTCCCGGCTCACAAATACTGTTTGTGATCAGTGGAAAAATCTACAGTTACAATTTTGATGAGAACGCCTGGCGTAAAGTGGAAGGTGCGTGCCCTACACCTCGGCTTCACTGTTGCTGAGCTTAGTCTGATTTTGTTTTTGAGACAGGGCCTCATGTAGCCCGAGCAGGCATCGAGCTAGTAACTCATGGTCTCCCTGCCCCTACCTCCCCAGAGCTGGGATTGCAGGTGTGCATTGCCACACCTAGTTCATGGGATGCTGGGATGGGATCTGGATCCTGTACACGCTAAGTGACAGAGCTCTGCCTGTTAAGCCACAGTCCCATTGCTCAGTTTAGTGGCTATTTGTTTTCCTTTTATTGTGTGTGTGTTAGTGTTTGCCTGCATATCTGTCTGTGTACCACATGTGTGCAGCCACCATGCAGACCAGAAGAGGCCATTCAATCCCCTGGACCTGGAGTCATATTTGGCTGCAAGTCACCATGTGCTAGAAACTGAACCCCTGTCCTCTTACAGATCAGCCATTGCTCTAAACCCCTGAGCCAACTCTCCAGCCCATTTTATTTATTTTTGGTGTTTTTTGTTCTTGTTTTTGAGAAAGGGCATCACTATGTAGTGCAGGTTAGCCTCAGATTCAAAATTCTCCTGCCTCAGCCTTAAGTCCTGGACTAACAGGCATGTACTACCATGCTTGGCCTAATGTTTAACTTTGGAGAATTCAAGATATGCAGCCAGGTGTGTTGGCACAAGACTCTCATCCCAACCCTTTGGATGCAGAGGCAGAAAGAGTTTCGGGAGCTGGAAATCAACCAGCGGTGTCTAGCCAGTTGTAGGCCAATGAGATCCTGTCTCAAAACAAAAGCAAGAACCAGGGGACTGGAGACTCGACAATGGCCTATGGCCCCATCTCCAGGGATCCATCACCCTGTCATGCCTACTTCAGGTGCCTGCACTATGGACATACACATATACACAAACAAAAGTAAAGAGTTAATTCATATGGTTATAATGTATATATACTTTAACCTATCTAACTTTCAGGTGTAACAGAATCTGTCTCTCACATTAGTGGTGACACTTGTTGTTTTGAAGGCTCCTTTTGCTTGGTAAGTTGCAAACTTTCATTCTCAAAGCCTTCTAAATGCTAACACTTAGGCATGAGCTAGGAATAGAGGCTGTGTAGTGTTGACTTTTGGTGATGTCCCTTCTCCCAACCTCACAGGAAGGCTGGCCAGCAGTAGATCAGTCAGCAGGACTGTCCGTCTCTCTCGGGATCTAGCTGGTGGGCAACAGCTGGGCAACAACAGTAGGCCGGCTTGAGTGGGCCCTGCCTCAGGCTGACTGTTGATTGCCCCTGGGAGCTTATGATATCAGTTGCTGTGAGTCTGGAAGATGGCCGTTTTTAGGTCCTTCATCTTATCTCCTGGCTTTTAGATTCCTTCTGCCCCTCTCTGTGGCCCAGGACAAGTAAGATGGCGTACTGCCTGAGCCTCCACACCTACTGCTGCTCACTGTTTAGAAGTTTCCCATGCCTGGGGCTCACAGCAGTGTTTGGCTTTGGTGTAGACAGATGTTAGGAGGTAGTTTAATGCTTTCAGAAGAGATAGACTATGGTTTTGTGTGGGGGTGGGGGGATGATTAGCTCACGCATGGGCTCGGGCGGGCATGGGTTCTTGAATCTTGTTGGATTGTTGTGATTCCCACGGCTCCAAAGAGACTGGAGCTCGGAAATCTTGACTTGAGTTCACTCCGAGAACTGCACTGGGTGGGTGCTACGGGGGTCTGAAGTCCCTTGAGGGCACAGGGCTCTTGGATTGGGGATCCCAGGGCCAGGAGGTGGCTGGGGAAGCCCTTGGGCTCTCAGATGCCACTGAGAGGCTGAGGAAGGACCAAGACTGGGGCATGTGGGTGCACAACTGGCCAGCCCATGGCCAAGAGAAACAAGTGGGGGAAGAGAGGAAAAAGGCCCTGACAGTGCTCCGCAGGAGAGACTTGGTTACTGTACTCACTTAGCAGACTCAGCGGTCCAGCTACCTTGCTTGAAGATGTGGGTCCCCGTGGCTGGAAAGCAGAGAGGTCCTCTAGGTGGGAAATTAGGTGTGGTGGCTGCAGAGGCTTGACATTAAAGGCCTTCTCTGCGTTTTCCCATGGCGGGCCTCAAAGACATGAGAAGTCCATGGGTTTAAGAGATTTATTTTCATGGTGGATGTAGGTGGATCTTGGAGTACTCCTGTGAAACTCAGGGCAGACCTGAGTTAAATAGGAAGGGATAAGGGGGAAGGGTCTGGGGAAGAATGCTTAATTGGCTCTGCCCTCTGGCCTTCAGGTATCTCATTAGTATGTAAATCCCTCTGGGGCCTGAGGCCTGCAGTCACACCCTCTACCTGTGCTCTTTGGGAGGGGCTGCAATGGCCTATGTGACTGAACAGTGCAGGTCAAATGGAGACCTTAGACGGCGTGTTAGGAGCCTGGATTCTGGGAGCACAGCGGAATGGATGCCCGTCCTTTGCAGGATCTCTGGGCTACTTCCAGTCAGCACTCTACCAAAAACCAATACCCCTTTCACGGCCCAACAGTTTTGGGTCGCACAAGCCTGTGACCCCAGCAGTCCAAGCAGGTTTAAAAGGTCAGGTTTTGGATCCTTCTTCCTGTGAAGTGGGCCTCAGATTCAGACAGAACTGTCACTCACCCCAGAACAGCTGTGCCCCAATGTTGGGTTAAGTGTGTCCTATGCCTGGCCGCTGTCCCACGGGGCTAGGGCAGCCGCTCTGAGAGGCAGGAACATGGGAAGTTTGACTGTGTTCTCCCCGACACCAGCGCTGAGCTAATTCCGCTCGGGGTGGGGAAGCCAGAGCTATTGACTTGGGGGTCCCTGGGCCAAAAGGCGGCTGGGGATGAGCTGGTTCTCAGGCTCTTGGGCCCCCAGGCCCTGCTGGGGAGCCTTAGCCCTCGGCCTAAGGGGAGAGGGTGAGAGAGCTCCAGCTGTGCCCTGTGGGGATGAGAGTCTTGCTTGGTTTGGTCACAGCTGGCTCAGTTTGCTTGCTTGGGTTGGTGGTCTCTGTGGCTGGAGATGCAGAGAGGTCTTCTGTGAGAGATTAGATGGTGGCTCTGTAGGCCTGCTCCTCTGTTCCTAAGGTGGATCCTAAAGAAGATAAGTCCATGGTCTTAAGATGTTTATTGTCGCCGGGCAGTGGTGGCGCATGCCTTTAGTCCCAGCACTTGGGAGTCAGAGACAGGTGGATCTCTGAGTTCAAGGCCAGCTTGGTCTACAGAGTGAGTTCCTGGACAGCCAGGGCTACACAGAGAAACCCTGTCTCGAAAAACCAAAAAAAAAAAAAAAAAAAAAAAAAAAAAGAAAGAAAGAAAGAAAGAAAGAAAGAAAAAAGTAAGAACTTAAAAAAAAAAAGATGTTTATTGTCATGGCAGAAAGTAGATGAAAACTGTACCCTAGTTCCCTCAGGGCGGGCCTTTTGCAAGGAGGAGGGTCTGGGAAGGAATGTTTAATTGGCTAAGCCCCTCTGGCCTTTAGGTATCTCATTAATATGGAGATCTGTCTTGAGGCTCTGTGGCCTGTAGTCATGCCCTCTACCTGTGGAGGGGCTAGTGGGCGTTGCCCTTCGTGAGGAAAGGACAAAAATGGACCCAAATCTATGGAGGGCTGTGTGTCAGGAGCCTGGAGTCTGGGAGCATGGCAAAATGAATGCTGTCCCTTAGGGTCACCTTCAGGCCCCTCAGGATCACCTGGTGTCTCCAGCAGTTTCCAGCCTGTGCTCAACCAGAAATCAGGCTGCCTTTCACAGTCCTATGTCCCAAAGGTCATTGTCACGTACAGGTACCAGGTAAGCACACTGTTGGTTTCCTGCCCCCACACCCCTTACGTCTCACACTTCCTGGCTGTGGAGGCCAGGCAGCACGCAGGGAGCATCCAGCTAACGAACTGGCCAGGCAGCACGCAGGGAGCATCCAGCTAACGAACTGG